CATCCTCTGTTGTGCACCACCCACCCACTGTTGTGCACCACCCACCCTCTGTTGTGCACCACCCATCCTCTGTTGTGCACCACCCACCCACTGTTGTGCACCACCCACCCTCTGTTGTGCACCACCCGCCCACTGTTGTGCACCACCCACCCACTGTTGTGCACCACCCATCCTCTGTTGTGCACCACCCATCCACTGTTGTGCACCACCCACCCTCTGTTGTGCACCACCCACCCACTGTTGTGCACCACCCATCCTCTGTTGTGCACCACCCACCCACTGTTGTGCACCACCCACCCTCTGTTGTGCACCACCCATCCACTGTTGTGCACCACCCACCCACTGTTGTGCACCACCCACCCTCTGTTGTGCACCACCCGCCCACTGTTGTGCACCACCCGCCCACTGTTGTGCACCACCCGCCCACTGTTGTGCACCACCCGTCCACTGTTGTGCACCACCCACCCACTGTTGTGCACCACCCGCCCACTGTTGTGCACCACCCGTCCACTGTTGTGCACCACCCGCCCACTGTTGTGCACCACCCGTCCACTGTTGTGCACCACTGCCCACTGTTGTGCACCATCCTCCAACTGATGTGCACCACCCACCCACTGTTGTGTAACACCCACCCGCTGTTGAGCAGTACCCAGCACTGTTGTGTACTATCCATCCACTGTTGTGCATCACCCATTCACTGTTGTGCACCACCCACTGTTGTGCACCACCAACACACTGTTGTGCATACCCCCTAGTGTTGTGCATCACCCACCCACTGTTGTGCATCACCCAGTCTCTGTTGTGCAGACGTCTGCTGGACAAGCAGGAGCGAGTGGAGGCAATCATCGCGTCGCTGGAGCAGGAGGGTGGGGAGGCAGCTCAGAAGGAAGAAATTGAACAGATGATCACACCACCGGAGAGGGCACAGCTCGATAAAGTCAAGAAAACTGTCAATATGTATGTAAAGGAGAAACCACTTCTCCTCAGGATTACTTGAGATTGTAAACCTAGACAGTCCATATTATTCCGCAGGCCCCCTAGGTATGTTCCCTCCTGTCAGGGTTTCAATCTCAAGTAACCCCCAGGAGAAGTGGTTTATCCAACTTATAAAGCAACCATCACACAGATAATAAAAAAACATTGAAATAGCTTATAGTGAAACAATACAATGTGTCATGGTATGAAAGGAATTCGATCAAAGCTTGCGAGAGAAAAACCATGTGCAGCATGGACCACAGGATTCATGACATGTCAATCTGAACAACTTTTCATCATCTACGCCGGTGGCTCATTTGGAAAACAGAAGGTTACAAAACTAAACACGATATGTGAGGTTGCAGGTTCGATTCCTGTCATTCATAATGAAAACCTTTATTTCTTGTCTTTGATTATAGAACATTGGACGGTTAAAACAGCAAGTACAAATTTACAAGTCTTAGTAACTCCTAATAGGAGGGTTTACATTGATCGTAGCCCCTGGAGGAGGGTGTAGAATCAATCATTGTAAGCCCTCATAGGAGGCCTTTCAATCATTGTGAACCAGACTGCAAGGCATTACATAAAAACTAATGCGTTCTATTACATGACAGGGTTACACAAACACAGAGGAGGTTTATAAGTACCATATTCGACCCAATAAGCGCCCAGGGCGCTTAAAATAAAGACAGAAGGGGTAGGCGCTTATTGGGACCAATTCAATTCAAATTGGCGTAAATTCATCAGTAAGCCTTAAGTCACAAATATCTAAAATAAACAGAATACAGTCATGCCCCGCTTATACAGACTTCAAATATCCAGAAACCTCGGAAATGATTCTTGACCGTATGTAAGAAACAGGTGAGTAAATCTTACTTGGGCATCCAGGAAAAGGGGGGGCGCTTATTGGGACATGGGCGCTTATTGGGTCGAATACAGTATATGGTATCCGTTACCTTATGAACATGTCCCTTAGAGTTCATGAAGTACACACACTTACTGTTGGTGTAGAAATCTACAGATGATGAAGCAAAGGAGAAGGAGATTTGTAGCTTCTGCTGTTTTTCTATCCAAAAATATTCCCATTTTGAAAACAAGTTCATATTGGCATGAAAAGGACTTGAATCAGATGCTCTATCTTAAAAGGCTTTGAGATTAAAGAGTACCTTTAGAAAGGGCTTGAGTTTTTTATTTTAACGCTTTACAAAGAAGTTCATCTGTAAGATCGTCAATATGTATTATTCAGTCGGATTCCTGGTCAGATTTGTTCCCCATCAACATATGCTTGTCATAAGAGGTGACTTCATAGATTGGATGGTTCACTGTGGTTTGTAACCCCAAAATTCGCAGCTGCAAGATCTATGGTAACTACCATGTCATAGTACTGTGTACAAGGAAAGGAAGGTAACAGTGTATAGTTTTATGGGGTATGTACAGTGAACATTGTTGAACTCGTGCTAGAACAAACTTAGTGTGTTGACCTTGATATTTAGTGCCATGCACGGTATAATATGCTCTGATAACTTTTCCGTTACAAGCCCCTGTACAAGGCACACATATCATGAATATGCTCTAGACCATAAAACCTTGTCTACATGTTAATGAATCCTGCAATAATGAATTGTATGAGTCGGCTGGAGGGTCACTGTGAGGTCATAGTGTTGATGTTTGTTTCAGGTTGGACAGCTGCGAGGTTCAGTTGGACAACACGATATTTCTCCTGGAGACCTATCTGGAATACACCAAGATCCCACTACCTGTCTTGAAGAAAAAACAAACCTTCTAGGACCCACTGTAACTAAATCTAGTAAATGTATTGTATTATTCCGGGATGTGTGGTTTATCTAAGTCAGCATTGCTGCACCATGGTGGACAGTGTATGCATCTGTGTCACTGGTCAGGAGCACATCTAGCGTGGGATATTAGCACATGTGGCTACCATGAGGGATATTAGCACATGTGGCTACCATGAGGGATATTAGCACATGTGGCGACCATGAGGGATATTAGCACATGTGGCTACCATGAGGGATATTAGCACATGTGGCTACTATGAGGGATATTAGCACATGTGGCTACCATGAGAGATATTAGCACATGTGGCGTAATTGTGTTCACACCTTGTTTTCCTCATTGGACCTCCGTGACAGTGGATATTTGAGTGACTGAGTTTGGTATAGTGCAGCTTTGAACCTATACTACTCAAAAACAACTAAGGACCACCCGATTCTTTCATATTACCAAAGGTAATGTGTCATATCATGACAGTAACTACAGTAATATGAAAGAATCTGCTTGAGTATTATACTTCAGTTGAATCATGTCATGTCATGTCATGTCATGTGACTGTCACTTCCTGATGTTACAACTGTACAACAAATTCAGATCAGGTGCAAATCCACTTTTATTGCCAAGTGTCATACATATTTAAATCTAATTATAAAAATATGATTAAATGCATCAAGTTAAACATACCAGTCCCAGAAGGCAGACCGCCCTCCTTCATCCAGGATCAAGGTCCAGACTATACATGTAACAACCTGAGAAACAACAAATGATGTTAACTCTGTGCCCCAGTGAAAACCGCTAGTAAGGCACTGGAGTCGATTTTCCTAACAGAATCTCTTTTGTATATCGTGGCAGTCTGTATTCAGCAGATAGATTTCAGTGTTTGAAGTAAACGTAGATGATAAAAGTTGACATGTGACCATGATGACTAGGGGTATGCTTAATAACCATGGCAACAAATTATCAATACTTGATGTTGAAGTATTCTAATCATTATTATGGCTGGTATTTTACTAAAATATCCCTTTTATATGTTGAATACATGGGTAGACCTGTTTTCATGAGGGAATAATATCATGTGACAGACAAGGGATGGTACCCAAGCCTGCCAGTTAAATATTGAGGAGTAGATTTGAATGTATATAGCAAAAACCTCTCTCCTTTACAATGTATCATGCAATTTAAAGCATTAACATGTACTTTATATATAAATGACTGTTGCAGTGATTATATTTGGAACATTTACCAAAGCTTACAAAAAGATCTCAAATAAATTCTGATGTTCCAAAATGAGCCAGAAAATCCTAATATCTAAAATCAGATGTAACAAATGTTATATTTGGGATAACACTTTCTTTGTAAAGTACAGATTCTCATACTTTTTTGGGTTGAGTCCTGATCGGGATTCGAACCCACACTGCCAGAGTGAGGCATCTAATCGCCAGCACACAAAGTCAGCGATCTAACCCACTCAGCCACCGAGGCCTCCACAAAATGAAAGTTCGAAAACTGGTAGTCTAGATCACGTACTTTGTGTACCCCTCTGACAAGTGTAAATTGGCACAGCTCCCGTGGCCGAAAGCTATGAACACGCAATGCCATTTAGAAAGTGGTAAAATGTAACAAATATTATATTTGGGATGACACTTTCTTTGTGTGCTGGCGATTAGGTGCCTCACTCTGGCAGTGTGGGTTCGAATCCCTACATTTTACCACTTTCTAAATGGCATTGTATGTTCATCTAAAATCAGAGTACCAACACAAATTTAAGTTTAAAAATCTATCTTCCCTAGCTCTATCAATATCTACAAATATACCATACCTTTCATAAGAAACAACAGTCAACTGTAAAACATGGTGTGGAAATAAATATAACATGAAAATAATATACTGGATTTCTAAACCTATCTGAACTGAATAGATACACCATCATCATCATCTGGGAGTATCATCAACCGTAAAATATTTTATTTTAGCGAGGTGACAAGTGAGAAAGCAAGGACCCTAGACCCTGCCCCTGTGGTGGTCTCACTGGACAGATCTCACTGGACAGATCTCACTGGACAGATGCCACAGGCTGAGGTCCGGCCAGACCACCAAAGGTGTCAGGTCTGAGGGGCATTGTTTTCACATTATTACCTCTCCAAAAGTAATTAATTGTTTTGTTATATCAAAATTCATATATGAAATATGAAATACTTGATTTCATCTGTTTTGTCCTTGTTATTAAGCATTTGAACGAGATCTTTTTCAGAAAGATCAGCGAACCATATATTACCACTTACCAATAAGTTGTTTTCTTGAAAAAAATAATCAATATTGATCACGTGACAGGTCAATAGTAAACATTTTTGGGTCAGTTTTCTATTGTTAGCCAACTTAGGTCAGCATTGAAATATATTGTTTCATCATGTGATGTGGATTAACCAATGAAATTCACAGATTCTTAATAGAGGTATAACAATTCGGTATACACAACAAATGTGGGTGAATAATCTGATTTCTTATCACTGTGCAAAACCTTGCCATCAGATTAAATACACCAGTAAATGGCTTCACTAGCTGTCAACAAACAAAACTTACATTAAATATGAGACACATCCATACCAGTACATATAATGAGACATCCTGTTTTCAAACCTCAGGAGTATTCCCAGTGAGAATTAATCAAAGTAATTTTTGTTTGCCTAATATGTATACTGAGTTAGTGAGCTGGACTTAATGCCGCTTTTAGCAGTATTCATGTGATATCATGGCGTGTCACCTTAATGTGGGAGGAAAGCAGACTGGTATTATAAAATATTTTGCATAAAAACATAACATTACAGTTGTGTGATCATTTCACACAACAGTTTACCCATCAGTGATAGTCAGGGTTTTAGATCAGTTCATTTTCTAGGACACTGACTGATTGTCAGCCAAAATATCCTAATTTAAAAAAGAAAAAATAATGATATAGAAGAATGTCATAAAGATTTGATAAAATCATAAAAATGTTCTAATGCCATTTGTCTCCAGCAAAGTCCCTGGGTATTGTTATAATATTATAGTGATCTGATATTATAATTGTTTGTTTGGTGTAGCCCATGCACACTCCTTGTTAGCTTTCCAGTCCGAACTGTGGTCATCATAGATTTCCTGAAACAACGAGAGAATTGGGTAGGTCACTAGTTACCATGAACAAACCAAGTTCTTACAAAGGAATTGGGATAACACTGGCAGTGACCATGACATTGGAGTGAGTGATGGAGTAAGTTGGGTTTAATGTCACTTTCAACAGTATTTCAGTTATATCACAGATGTGATAACAAGCTTCTGTTCGACAAGAGAAACTGGAAGTTTTATACCAATAAAACAGTATTTCCTTGTCTGATGACTACTTAAACATGTTGAATCTGACAATACCTGGTTATTATGATTAAACAAAACATAGTGTCTACCCAAAAGACATTCTTCCCAAACCTGGTCAAGGAGGTGAATGAGTTTACATTTTGAAATTTGAAAGAAACTGCTATGCAAATGGATACTCATCCAAACACAGGCACAAAACTTAATACAGAAGAGTACTTGAAAAACAGAACCAGTCCCTTCACTGCCATTTCGGGGTGGTGGGGCAGCCTAGCGGTTAAAGCAATTGGGCGATTCCCTATTGAGTAGCAAAACATCATTGCTATGCTATGATTTAGTATAGACGGAAAGGTTTGACCTGTACTGTCTCAAATTGCATATGGCTGAAGTGGTCAATATTTTGACAGTTATTAATTGACATCTTAAAGTTGGTCTAAACTAGAATCCCAAGGGTTTATTTTGTTTGTTTGTTGTTAACGCCGCACACAGCAATATTCCAGCAATATGTCAGCAGTCTGTAAATAATCGAGTCTGGACCAGACAATCCAGTGATTGATGTCATGAGCATCGATCCACGCAATTTGGATACGATGACAAGCATAACCAAGTCAGCGAGCCTGACCACCCGATCCGTTAGTCGCCTCTTACGACAAGCATAAATGCCTTTTATGTCAAACATAGGTTGCTGAAGATCTATTCTAAGGGTTAGATAAATTTGAACATATAAACCTCATGCTAAAGGTTATGTCAATCAAGCAATCTGTCATCAGGAAAACAATCAGACAACCAATCAGAAGTTTAAAAAATGTATCTCCAACTGCAGATGTGCCAAAATATCCTGCTATGCATATCTCCTGTGGGACCAGTATTGGATAATATACAGGTACATGTGACACTCACAGCTTCTTGAAGGACACCATTGCAGTTAGGAGGGAGGAGGAAAGGACCAGAGAAGTAGGATAGGTAAGCCGTTATATAAACCAACTGGAAACTTATTAAGAAATCATTATCCTGGGACTTCTATACAATACATTGGGATATTTTCTTACAATGATGTTTACAACACACACAAATGAAATATCACCAGCCACCTCAACTCTATAAATACTGTTCAACGTTTGATAGATTTACTTCTTATTCCATGAAACATGAAACTGATTACTTTTAAGGGTCTGCAACTGAAGTTACTAGTCTGAACCCCAAGTCTTTTAGAATTGATTCTGACTTATAGGCTCAGCTAATAATAGTCCATATGTTACAATGAGCTTTTACTGAAAGTCTCTGAAGGGCAGGTTTGGATTGGCTGATGAAATGTTTTTGGTATACTTGAAATTAACATAAGTCTGCTTGTCCGAGGCTAGTCAAATTCAGGAAGGTCCAGTGACATTTTTCCTTGTGGACTACCACCTTTACCATTTGGTAAGTGGCAATTATGTAGGAGTTCATTTCCGTGGACAAGTGAAAATAGAAATGAATTTACAAACCCAGATACTACTGTATGTGAATTAGCTTTCAATACTTCAGTAACCCTATCAAACATTGTACAGCATAAAGTAAACTATCAATCCATAATCCACATATTGCAGAACGTGTTGGTAAACAAAATGAGAATAATGCATTCTTATATCAAAAAGAAACGTCTGTTGAGTCGAGGAGCCAGAGATGATGATGATGATGAGTGAGTGAGTGAGTGAGTGTGAGTGAGTGAGTGAGTGTGAGTGAGTGAGTGAGTGAGTGAGTGAGTGAGTGAGTGAGTGAGTGAGTGCCTACCTTCTTCCAGATGGGCACAGTGGCCTTGAGGGTATCAATGGCATAGGAGACGGCAGTCAGCGACTCCTTCCGATGTGGGGAGGAGACCGCGATGATGATGCTGGACTCGGTGACAGGAACAACACTACAGAACACAGGACAATGGTAAAGGGAGGGGAGAAAACTAAGTCTGGACAGTCAATCTATCAGAAAGCTGCATTCAGCAGTATTCATGGTCCTATATCATGGTGGCCTGTACATATCTAAATACGGGACAAACCAGTGGTTGATATTATGAGCATTGTCCAATGTCGCTGACGTATGATGACACGCAAGTCTCAGAGTCTGACCAACCGATGCCTCACTTGCCCTCTTATGACAATCAATAGAGTGCTGAGACCTTTTCTTACCCGACTTCTCGTGAGTGCATGTGGACATTGTATGTCAAATAGTTATTGGCCTACTAGTTATAGGAAATTGTACAAATAACATGGGTCATTATAAAATACTGAGTCAGTGTTGCCTCTAGAATGAGTGAATGTTGTTTTTAAATAACCAGGTCACACAATGGAGACAGGAATGTAGGGTAGTGGGGCTCTCTTCTGCCCACTTGAAACCCATGAGGAAACAAGTGATGGTTAATGGGACCCGTTCTGCTCTAAATCCCAAAGAGGACACAAACATTGAATACTTGGGGCCATTCTGTCCTTGGAATTCTTTCGTAAACAAAAGGATGGGATACTGGGGATCTATTCTGCTCTAACTCCCTGTTGAGCATCAATATTGGAGTACTGCCCTTCTGCCCTTGACAATCTAACTTGCCTTCAAGAAAAACGGAAACCTTGTTTGGATTGTTTGAATTTTAACTAGGCCCCAAAGCAGTTCAGTCTAATATAAAATATTTGCGCTCAATCTAACCATGAAAAGACAATGCCTTTTAAATCTAACCAATGCTGCACACTTTGCCTTCGAAACACCATGGTTGAAACGGGATCATTAGCTTACACATCCAGTAAGCTCCTATTCTATTCAGTACTTTACTCGATCATACTGTAGAAACAAGGGCATCATTTGACCAACCGCCATCTGGACCTACCCAAGTCTGTGGACAATGGCGATGTGTTCAACCTGCCACTGAGCTCGGATCTGGTCACAAACTTCCACCATTTTCTTCTTTGCCATGGGAACGTAGGCCTCATACTCCAGTTTTACAACACGCTTGTTGTCAAAGTTGTCCCGCGTTGTTCCTGTGTGGAGACACAAGCTACATAACAGAAGGGGTCTTATGAAACATCGCCACAAATGTAATGACACAAGTGACGCGATCCTGAACCAACTTGCCCTCCCTTTAGTCACCACAGCTCCAGTCCATGTAGTGTATAACATAATTATTCCACAAAGCAAGCACAGAGCTGAGGTGATCGTAACTCCCATACTTTATTATAGACTTTTACCAGTCATAGCGCTAAGATTGCTTTGTGAACGGCGTCCAGTCCATGACATTGATTGCATGTTATGAGCAAGGATAGAATCAGGAAGTTTGAAACGACAGTGAGTCATAATTTTTATTTTGGAATACAGTGAAACCTTGGAGGACTTGTTAATCTGAAAGCCCTGCTTTTCTGATGATTACTCTTATAATAGGAATGTCTACATACATACAGACATTGGTCCCAATGAGTCTAGAGTCTTAAATTTGAAATGGTGCTGTTTGTAATTAACAAAGTTTTAGATTTAGAAACATGAGGTATTTAGAACATATTCTGCCCTCAAAACTGACCCATGAAGACTGATACCGCTCCACACGAGGGCGCAGTGACCAGGGCTGTGATACGATCCAAGTTGAGCTTTTCCTCTGTGATATCTATGTGATTCATCTTCTCAAGTTTCCGTGGATTATCTGTGGGTGAAAATAGCATTTGATTTTTAAAACTTTGCTACACTTTCTACAATAGCATTTCTATGAAGAGAGTGAGCTCAACTGGTTTTACATCATGACAGAACATCTGTGAGGTTACAGCCAATACCGTGACACAGACATCAATCTCTGTAATCTATACAGGGTTATTTTGGGGTTGAATGTTACAAAGTAAGAACTTGATAAACAGTTAGGATGGCCTCTTCCCCGCGCGGCAATTCAATTCCCATAACTCTGTGTAGAAATTCAGTTTGGCCTGTTTTTACATTTTTTCCCCCTTTTTCGTATCAAAAGAGTATTAATTTGCATGAAGAAAGACACAAATAGTAACATACATTCATTATGATAAAGTGTTTGTTTGCTGTGTAATGCTCCAGCCATATGACGGTGGTCTGTAAATAATCGAGTCTGGATCAGGTAATCCAGTGATTGAGCATCGATTTACGCAATTGTGATATGATGACATGAATCAACCAAACCAGCAAGTATGACCACCCAATCTCGTTAGTTGCCTCTCACGACAAGCATAGTCGTCAAGCATGGGTTGCTGGAGGCCTATTCTAACCCGGATCTTGAGTGAGTGAGTGAGTGAGTGAGTGAGTGAGTGAGTGAGTGAGTGAGTGAGTGAGTGAGTGAGTGAGTGAGTGAGTGAGTGAGTGAGTGAGTGAGTGAGTGAGTGAGTGAGTGACTGACTGACTGACTGCAATCCATGAACACAGGTATGGTCCTGACAAAGCTAGAAACATAATCAGAACGAACTGAGATTTGATTGCACAATCATAATTTTCCAGGATGCATTTGGAATGGAAATCTGCAACGGTAGATATTATAGATAGAACAAGATTACATTTTTAAAAAATAATCTAAAGCTATTTTGGGGGCAAACTTTTATTTGTTCTGCAAGGGCACATTTTATTTTGTTCCACCGTTCTGATGTTCTGGCAGCTGTTAGGTTCCTTCACTATTGTAACAAAGCCATGCTTAACTGTGACATCAATACAGTAGGCAGGGCCACACTTTACATATATCAACCATAGTCCAGGTATTAGATTAATACCAAACATATGAAAAGAGCCCTATGTTCATCATCACGCCACGATTGTAACTGCCTAAGTTTAATTATAGTGATTACCATAACCAATCCGCCTGAGATGAATGCCCACACAGTGATAAAATAAAAAGATCATCTCCCTGCACTGCAGCTGTTGCCAGATTCATGTTGGTACAATGTGGATATGAACTTATGACCACCTTAACCATTACAATATCCAAAACAAATATATATCATGAAATGTGAGGCAATAGCTGTTTTATTAATTTTATTCAGATTTATCAAATCTATCAACATCTTCCAAAATTATCAGTATAATAATATTTACTATTATTATTATCATTATTATTATTATTATTATGATGATGATGATCATCATCATCATCATCCACTTTAGACAAAGTATCGTAGGATAAGTATACAAATATAAAAAAACATCTAGATTTTGCTCAATTGTTAACTTATCCTGCATTACTTCTTAATGCATCTTTATAAACTCCAGTAGTTCACGGCAGTTGTTGAGCAAATCACTTGCGGCGTTCTGTAACTACTTCGACCAATCATGTCTGCGGACGGTACGAGAGTATGAGGACGTCACAGCGCTTAAGTCTAGAAACTGATTTACCAAGCCAATTTGCTGGTTAGCAGCAGCATGAGTCGGGTAAGGTTGGCTCTGGACAGGAGGAGCTTCTTAATGGCAGCGAGGATTGGTGACCTGCTGGGCTACGACCAGAGGGCCAAAACTACAAATGCCTCCAACATCTTCCAAGTCCATGATCCTCAGGTAGTGGCTTGCGAAGACAATGTCGGACCTCCAAAAGTACCCTTCTATGATGGTTCTAACAGAGCAATCACTGTGTAGATCCATCGTAGAGGCTACCCCCCGGATCTCGTGATAGTTGTTAGTTCTTGGTGGATCCAAGATGGCGATCTCATATGCCTGAAGGATGATAGCACGCAACCATAATGATACGGTGATCATGCTGACTTCATTCAGGGAGGTCTGGAGACGATAATAAACAGGTGTTTCCTAGCACCATGCAGAGTCTTGGAGCAAGGGATGTAAACTGTGCGTGCACAGGGCACAATGGGAGTTCTTCATCATCTTCAGTTCCCACAATTGATGGTAAATGTAGGATGGAGAAGGACCAGTTGGACTGTCCTGGTAGTTGATTCTTGGCAATGAAATCCCAGCACAGCCCTAGGTGAAAAGGTCTGTGCGTACCACGCACAAAGCATATGCGGTTAATGTCGAAAGTATGAAGCTCACTTACCCTTGCCGCTGTGGCCAGTGCCAATAAGAAGATCTGCTTGGTGAGGTTATAAAACAATGTAGCATGGAGAGGCTTGAATGGCAGAGCATGCAAACACCGAAGTACGACATTCAAATCCCATGCGGGAAGGAGAAACTTAGCCCTCTGATCTTCAAGACGCAATGAGCGTCATAGCGCCTGTAGTTCTAGGATCTTTGTAATTTTTGATCTTCTGGAATTTCCATCACCAAATTGAGAGCCACCAAAATAGGTAGTAATGGTGCTGCCTTTCAGGTGTTGCTTGGTATGCAGATAAGGGAGGTATTCAGCCAAGAATTGAGGCGAGGTAGTAGTGGGGTCCTGACCCTTTCCTTTACAAAAGGTTCTGTTGGATCGCCACCTATCAATCATAAAGGTCTCGGATTGAAGGTCAGTGTGCCATAGCAATGGTCTTAACTGCCCGTACTGAATAGCCTTTTGTGCCTAGATCTCTCTCAAGATCAGTCAGATGTGCAGATGAAACCTGCTTGGCGTTGGGTGTGGTAACCTGCTGTGCAGATGGATGGGTAGGTTGGACCACCCCAGTAGAGGTAAGGGATGGCTTTCTGCAAGACTTCTGAGGTCTACGAGCCAACCTCTTGCTGGTCACCAAGGCACGATAACAATGAGAGTGAGGCTCTTGGTTGCTGTGATCTTCCTTATCAAAATTCACTATGATGTCATTCCCAAAGAAATAAAAAAAAGTCTAAACTTTACTACATTTGGGGTTAGAGGGTAGATTTCAAGATGCAATGCTAAAGATCATATGTAAGGCTGAAAAAAATATATTCTTGGTTCATAGGCACCGCCACATCATCACAAAGTCTTTATTTCCATTTAAAAAACACACCCAAAAAACCCTTAAATATTCCGCGTCTCGAATACACGACCCCAAAAGTGAAATGCTACAATACTTAAAAACAATACGATCCAATATAGCAGTTACTTTCCCTTTTCATGCGCACTGCTTTACTGCACATCTCGTGTATTATCATGGTTATGGTCATGGCAGAAATAGGAGTTTGTGTGCTTGCTTTGCTGTTTGCAAATTTGGTCAATGAAAATATTAAATTTGCGATAGTGAGTAAGTGAGTGAAATTTAACGTCACATCGGCAATATTTCAACCATATTGTGACGAAACAGTTATAATAATTATATTTTGATTTAATTAAAAAGCTGTCAACGATGGACAGTAAGATAACTAGAGTATCACAGTTTCGATTTTAAAACTAGTTGAGAACAGTTAAAAGAATACATTTTCATTCAACAAAATACAATATAAAAAAGGCCTATAGATCACCAGCAACCAAAGTGAGGCCACCTCACTAGGGACCGTGGGGACTTACACTACTTTTGCTACCTGCACGGCTCCCCAGCAGGATTTACACCAACACTTCAGCTGCTGGTGATGGGATGCAATTTAGCCAACAATTAAAATAAACAAATATACTACGTTTAAAACCGATGTAAGAATAAATGTTCTTGGAATGATGTGGTCTTACATTAAATTTGCGATAAAACATCCCCAGACATGATGATTTACAAATTCAATGGTATTTGTGTACTGTATGCGGGACAATGTTTCATTCACAGAGGTTAAGATTTACAATTACATGTGTATTTGTCTCGTAAAATAAGCGGGAAATGCTAATTTATATACCCCGTCTGTAAAGCGAATCGGAGTGAAGCACCTCACCAGTGCATACAAAGCCCCAACATTTGCAATAAAAATGTGTTTGTCTTCCGCAGAATAAAATTACATCGTATCCCTTCAGCGAATTCAGGAAAACGAACAGATTATAACAATTAAACTTGGCCAATACAAATTTGAGATAAAACATCACTAGACATAATGATTTACCGATTAAATTGTATTTCCTGTTCTGATTGGCATTGTTTTATATGCAGAGATTAAGATTTCCGTGTGTCTTGTCTCGTAAACTAAGCAGGAAGTAGCAATCAACTGTATGAAAAACTCGCCTTATACACAGCGATATACGGATTTGGATATTTGTATTCTTACTAGTTTGTACACAACCAAAAAAAAAAAAAAAGCGGCCCGCCTGCACGATATTTCCAAAACCTATTGCCTGGGAACCAATTCTTTTTTTTTTCAGCCTAATATATGAAAACCATAGGAAGGATATAATCACATTAAACAATAGTGTTGCAAAGGATTGTAATGGGTAAAGCTGAGAGCTCAAAACAGGTGACTGTTCTCTCTGAGTGACAGCAGTAATGTTATGATATGTGACGTCATCACTTCCGTGGTCACGTGGGAGCTGTGTGATGGGATTAGCCACACAAGCAGTTGGAACAACTTCTTCTTCAGCAAGACCTCACACAGCTCTTCTTTCTGTCAAGAACCATCAGTAAATGCATTAAGGAGTAAAAAAATATAAAAAACATGAATAACAAATAGACAACCATTCTGATAACCATGATTGCCAGGGATAAAATTGCTGTGGGCACAGAGATCACCTTGGGACCCCTATTTCAATGACTGGGACCCCTAAAAGTTATTTTAAGCCTCACCTGTGTGTGCATTGGTTTATCCTCCACTGATTGGTGGGATGACTGCCAGTTCGTCCCCGTTATGAAGTTCTAACTCGTTGTCATTTGGGTCAATATAATCTTCATTCAATGACAATACAATGTTTTCTGAGATAGGGGAAATGCTGAAAATATATGAAAAGGTTGCTCAATTTTCAACAGCAGTCATATGTCACTGTCAACTAGCTATTGGAAAGTGATGCTTACGGATTGAACCCTATTTCCTATTACTTCTAATTCTGTAACAAATGCAGGTAGAGTTTAGTATTAGATTTAAAGGGGCACTGATCTAACGGACTGGTTGTTGCCTTTGTTATTGTTTTTCCCCCGTGAGTACCCGGATGATACGCAACGCAACTGAGCGTGACCAGAGACTGGGCTACCGTCTGCAAGGACAGCTAAATAAACTTGGAGGCTGGAGGCAATATTTGTTTTACGCATTTTTGAACACTGATTGGTTAACTGTGATCTATAAAGATTTCGACAAAGGGCGCATGTTAATTCATTTCTTCAGCCTAAACAAACAGACAAAAAGAACAAGGGAGCTCATCGGATGTCGTCATTTGGAAATACCCCAGATGGTTATAGTTTAATACTAAAAACAGTATCCATGCAGTGAAAGCATTTTCGGATTTCGGCTTGCGTTGATAATACGATTACTACTCCCTTGTTGTCATTCACGTTTTCTCGTATAACCCTACACTTGTGTATTTGTCGTCATTCACTTGATGCTCAGTTAATGAATTTATTACAGGTACAATTAGTGGTAGCACCACTTATATTACCTGACAAAGGTTCCCATTTGGCATTTATTGTGTCTGGGGTAATTATTCAATCTAAATCCAGGTTTGAAGTGAGGTGAAATGTGTGTTATGTAATATGCACGTGGCAGCCCAGCAAGAGATGAATGATCAGTTGATTTACTTTTTTTTGTAAATCAACGGATCGTTCCTAGTCATCAAAGGATTAACAGAAAATATGTTGATTGATTAATCACTGTTATCTTGCACAGTGGATATGTCAAGAGTGAGTGTTTACATGTCTAGGTTTACTAAAACAAAGGGAATACACTCATATCATGGCGCGAAGTGCCGATGTAAAAACAACATACTTTGTTCAAAGGGTTAACTGATAATACGTTGATTGATTGATCATTGTTATCTATCACTCAATGGAATTTTTAGGAACCGTGGACGCTATGAAAATAGTTGTCACGTGGGCTTTCTCAGCCGACCATTGAGACTTGACACCTATGTAAAACACCTGAAACAATCCAAGCGATCAGTTGAGAAACGAACACGGGTTATAATATCCCGAAACGATATATATCTTTTAAAATATTTGATTGTTACTGAGACACGTGACATCAAATAAGTTTCTTTGTACAGCTGCAGACGAGTGGGATATTGTTCCTTTGTGTGGATATTCACGGATACATTCCTCGAACAAGGAAGCTGCCTAAAACTTATACACATAAATTTGGTAGGTTGTAATTATGATATCTGCATTTTGTTTTCCTTCATTTGAACCGATTCGTTCTTGTTTCTCTACGTCTTGGTTGGGAAATTCTTCAATGCGCGATAGTCGTTGTTGTCACAGGTCTTTTCCTTTGTAAGCGTGTATATATTACCGTCAATTTGTAAAATGTGATTCTCTCAGGCAATTTATAAAATGTGTAAATATTGCAGTCATTTTGACTAAAAAATCTGTCCAGATTGATCAAGACGATCAAAAGGGCCTACAAACATCACAACAGATTATTATGTAGGATTAAAAGCCAAACAACTTAGAAATGTACTTTTCAACGTTACATTTTCAGTCTCTTGGTGATGACATTAAACATCAAAATGTTTGGAATTCGTTGTCATAATAATACAGATGGAAATGTTTTTCAGTCACTTTGTAAAATAACTGAATATTTAGACGTTTAATAAATTTGTTACACATTTGACAGTAAAAAAATATACACACTATAAAAAAAGCATATGCTCAGGTGAAATATATACTTTGTGTTGCAAGTCAAAATAGTGTATACGAAAATCGCAAAATTACCAAGCAAGTGACTTATCAAAACTTCGGAATTGCATTAGATCAGTGCCCCTTTAAGAATAGGACTTATATTTTCACAAATTTTGTCAAAAAGCACAACTCAAGCACGGGTAAAGTTCACTGTCATGATAATTGGTATTCAAGCCCATGATCAGTTAATTCTGTTGTTACTCAGCAAATTCCAGCACCTTACAAAGATGTAAGAGTAAATGATACTTAAAGAGACACAATATCCATGACAAGCAAACCTTGGAAACTTGTTCAACAGTAGCTGCAACAGCTGTTGTGCTGACAAAGATGGTGGAGCATCCACAAGTGATTCCTTCTGCCCAACTAAATCACGACTTTTGGCAAAAAATAAGACTTTAATCTGAAACAAACAAACCTGGTTTCATTAATCACAAAATAATGTTGTATACAGTGTATATTTTATCATAATTTAATAATCGTGTGAAGTATCCTGATCCATATGCTGAATACGGAAATAGTGTTCTATTTCACTGTTCAATCATGTAATTCACAGTTTGCCATAACCATTAGAAATTATAGAATGCTCAAACATTGTCTGTGTTAGCACTGTACGGACGTTATGTAAATACGATAGACAGGACAATTTATCGTAATCGATGATTATCTGACTTTAACACGTTTGAATAATCTTTATCTAGTGGTCACTGTTGTTGTTGAAATGATAAAAAGAAATCGCATTGATTGACAATCACGTTCGTTGTGAGAATGCAGATCCTACCTGAATATTGTCTGTCATGTTCGTCCCTGCTCCATCTCACTGAAGCACTAGAAACAACAGTAATCTCCCCTTGATCGCTCAATTGAGACTGGGCACTGTCTACTAATTTTGTTGATGCGTCCAGGCATATTAACAAGGAAACCGATTCCTGCCATCATTGCTCATGCAGACGCAAACAAAATTATTGACACAAAAAATACAGTAGCAGTCTAAAACCAGCACGTGAGTACAAATGAATTGTAACATATGAATTTGTATAAATTCCCGTCGACCGAAATGAATAGCCTAATCAAACAGGTCGCAAGAGTTTATCGTTCAATCAGTAAGGACGGCGGGAAATACAAATTAATGCCCATCACAACACTGAATATTGGACATTCAAAAGTTACAACTAGGCCCTATAGGTACAAAACTATTATCTCATTATACGTATATTTGATGGTCACATATCAGAGTTTAAACAGGTTTTAATTACTGAGGTATTTCAAGTATACTATTGTTTGCCAAAACTAAAGCCTACTAGGCCTACAAGTTGCCCATGGGAACAAGTCAAAAGGGTAACAGACACACTAGCAAAGTCTAGAAGGGCCACACCAAAAACTCAAAAGGGCCACAAATCTTAGTCAAAACGGCAACTTGAAAAAGTATAAATATAAAGCATAGTGTTTGTTTTTATTTGTTTGCTATATTTATTTCATTAATCCAAAGGATTTAGTATAAACTTTGATCTATAGTGAAACCTGTGTGTGTGGTCTTTACTAAGCTTTTGTAATACATACTTTGATACTGTGTGTGATGGACCTTTGATCATCTGTGAATCCTGTGTGTGTATTGTCTTTACTAAAATTTTGCAACAGAGTGGGAAAATGATCGAAAGTGCCGGTGCTTAGATTGTATACCTCTAGTGCCTGTGGACCAAAAACATTTACAGAACTATAAAGTGTTGTCACTTCCCCTAGTGTACAGTGCATTCACCCTGTGCACACTCATACCATGGTAGATGGATGACCAGATTGTGGAAACATGAATATGTTCATACACCCAAAAGGCGAAGCACAAAGTGTCAAAACGTGTGGTGTCACCCTGGGCAAGTGACTTAGTTTAAATGTGCCTGTTCACCTCGCAGGGAATGGAACCTGATATTTGGATGCCCTTAGGCAGCTTGGGTTGTATACTCCCCAGGGAATTGAGAATGATTACTGAAATGCATATGGATCCACTGGTTGAGGAACAAATAAACCTCCTTTTTGCATATACTAGTATCTGGATAAGTGTGGTAGATAAATGTATCAAATAATAACATACTGTGTTGATTGTCCACTGTGATTGGATTGACTTAGTGTCAGAGTGATTGGTATATACATGGGGTGAAGTGGATCACTTGCATTACCTACCACTCAATAAGCCTGCTAAATGTGTACATTTTACCAAAACTGTTCTGAAGAATCAGCAAGCTCTTGATAGTGACTCCTGCAAGCACTGGACTCATGGGGCACAGGGATGAGCAATGTTTAGCCAGTTGAGCCAGAAGAGGTGCTTTATAGTGCTGATGTATGCCTACTGTAAAGATCTTTGTTTAATGGAATGAATAAAGAAATAAAACATACAAAATGTATACTTTCATATGTAAAATGTCACCACTTTGGGTTTGTTGACCTTTGGACTTTTTAGGGTGTCTCTTTTGACTTTTTTGTGTGGCCGTTTTAACTAGGGGTTTGAGGTATTTTTTACTCTTTCGTGGCCATTTTGACCAAAACATTGTGGCCGTTTTGACTATAACCGTAGCCAATTAAGGCATTCAGTCAACACTTTGACTTTCTGCTGACTCAAGTTAATGATCTGGATTTATTTTCCAAAAATAATGTTATATCAAGCGTGGACATAGCTTTTGGAAAATAGGGATTCATTTTTGTTAATAACATCACTTGATCACTGAGTTATAGTGTTGTTCAAATTGAATTTATATAACCTTAGTAAACTGTTCACATATTTGCATAAATGATATTCTTATGACAAACCTGATACAGCCAACCAATGTTGCATGAATTTGAAGTATGAACAACAGAACAGGTAATAAGGACATGCTCAGAACAGTGTGAAATATGAACACTTGCCTGATACCCCAAGACCAGAAAGGTATTCAAAGGACTACTTGATTGCTGGAGCAACTAAACTCACGGGCAAAAGAAACGCTGGCTTCTAATATTCGCATCTAATAAAGACATATGAAAAATTATGTCAACAGATATCATTTTATTTTACAGAAACAACAATAGACATCAGGTTTACGAACTCTGACAGCCACGTGATGATATGTTCAGGAA